GTCATGAAATCCAAGCTTAGCTGCAATCAACTGAGTAAATTATGGGGATAAAGAGATTATCGTAGTCTACACATTCAAACCAAATATCAGTACGGTTGATAAAGGCGGATCTAAAATAATAAAAGCAGAATCAATAGAACATATCGTCACTAATAGGAGTTAAAGCTAATCGTACAAGTGAGAATATCTAAAGAGATAATTAACGGTGAATGGTTGTATAAATGGATTTTGTAGTATTCCATGAAATAAGGCTGATATTTTAATGCTATCAATAAAAGCCTTAGCTTTTATCTCGGATTATGAAAATAGTGATGCTGCTGAAAATAGCCATATCATTATTAAAATGCATTAATTTTTTAGATGCGTCCTAAAAAGCAATGCTCATAAATAACTAACGAATATAGACATAATTTATGTCATGATAATTGTAAAATACAATAAAGTACTAAAAGTATTCATTTTATTATTAATTATTTTTGACTCTTCTACTCTCATTAGCGCCCCATTTGACACATCTTTTTTCCCCACATGTCTGAGTTGGAAAATTCTTCTAATCATTCAGGTTCTTTTAGTGTTATAAAATGTTCTGTATGTCTTGATAAAACGTCGAAATACAAATGCCCTCGCTGTTATACTCAGACATGTAGTCTTGAGTGTTGCTTGTTGCATAAGGACCGTGCGCATTGTACCGGAAAAAGAGATGTGACAGAGTATGTCAGGAAAGATGAGTATAGATATCGTCATTTTATATCAGATTACAGACTTCTTGAAGAAATAGATAGAGCAAACGCTAGCAGAGAAAGGAATTTGCTTATGGTACGTTTTAACCTGTAAAATTTATTTCATTTGTCCCATTTTAGATATCAATTTGTTAACTTATCTGCCCCTCATGCTTTTCACTATTTTTTCCATACCTCCTCAGATTAATTCCCGCTCCGGAAGAAGGTTTATTGCTTGCCGTAGAGCTCAGCTACACAAAATTGCTAAAGAATCTGGTATAAATCTACGTCTTGCCCCAAACTTGTTGTTTTCCAGAGCGAAACTCAACAAATCCCATATTGTTCAAGTTAAAAGGCAGCCGCCATTAGCTTCTGCTTCCGGGACTCAAGGGCCCACAATTTATAGGCCAGTTATATTTTGGACACTGGAGTTTTGCCTCATTGATACGGACTTCGTTTTGAGTTCACAAACGGGTCACATGAGTGATAAATTAATTTTTCATCAAAATTGGAACCATATTCGAGATTTATCCGAAAAATGCATTCGGTTGATTTTGCAA